TTTTACCCTAAACAAACTGAATTCTTGTTTTTACCCCTAAACAATTGAATTCTTGTTTTTACCCTAAACAAACTGAATTCTTGTTTTTACCCTAAACAAACTGAATTCTTGTTTTTACCCCTAAACAAACTGAATTCTTGTTTTTACCCTAAGCAAACTGAATTCTTGTTTTTACCCCTAAACAAACAGAATTCTTGTTTTTACCCCTAAACAAACTGAATTCTTGTTTTTACCCCTAAACAAACTGAATTCTTGTTTTTACCCTAAACAAACTGAATTCTTGCCATAAACTCTGATTTTTTAATCCATTATCTTTGCAACCCAAAATTAAAAATTCTGTTAAATCAAATATGAAATAGTCAAAGTTTGAAATATTAAAAGTTTTCACCATTAGGTCATAAAGATATAGGGATATAAGGAAATCTGGATTTGTGGCAAGTTCTAAGTTTTCCTTAATGTTTATTTAGTCTTTCATAATAATAATCTATAAATAACATATAAAAAGCGGGTCTGGAAATATTAATATGCCATCAGACATATTGGGTATTAATATATAATATATACTATACATATATGTATTAATACACGTATATGAAGATGAAAATGTGTAGAGTATAACTGTAATATATACATTGATGTTGTGATACAATCATGTTTATAACATATTGCAGTGTTATGTATATGGGTTTAAAAAAAAAAAACGTTGTTCACGATTTTTTAACTCCCTTGGCTGTAAAATATTTTTTATTATAGATGGACGTTTCTTCTCAGACTTTACAATAGTGCAGGAAACCGTTAACTAACGGCAATTTTGCAAAAAGAAATTGAGTTTTTGTCTAAAACTCTGATTTCCTAATCCCCATATCTGTGAAACTTGATTGTCATAGACCCTTGATATTTCAAACTTTGAATTCTGTTAGAATTTTGAAATATCAATGGTTTACACCATTAGGTTGCAAAGATATAAGCATTATAAAATTTGACTTTGTGGCAAAAACTCAGTTCCTTTACAAAAGATTCTTTTTATGAACGGCAAAAGCCTTCAATTTTAAGATTGTTAAAAATGAAAGTAATGGTTCATGAAATCAAAAAGAACAAAAAAATCTTTTGATTTTAGAACAAATTCTTGCGACGTTAATTTACAGTATTAACTAGAAAACTTTGGAATAGGATGTCGACTTTTAGACTTAATTTATGACTTAAAAAAGAATGATAAATAGATTTGCATTTTGATTTTTAGTTTGATAACTTACAAGAAATGTTATTTGCTTCGTAACACCATCAAATATAATTCAGTATTTCTTTAATGTCGTCTTCCTATTCTACAGTTTTCTAGTTATCACTGTATATACAAAAAATTGGTAATGGGTGGCACTTTTAACGATACCTAAGATATCGATAGTCAACGATGTCAATATAATTGAGATCGTGAAAGAACGGTAACTTAAACAAAGAACTAAATATCGTCAGCTGAATGAAAAGTAAAGTTCTGAAAACGGACTGAATCCTGAAATGTGGTTCATTCCTTTACTTAAACTAACCGTAAACAGTTTATGATGTCCAGCCCTATCTTCCCACTGGTTTTACACTTTATGACAGAATATCTTCTTACAAATCTTTTGACAAAAACCAAATGGCTCCATTTGGAGTAATCAGGAGTAATTAATCTTTAATGCATGTTATATTGTTCATGTATTTTCCCAAAGGCATTTTCCCAAAGGGGACTTCCAATTGACAATTTCCCAAGTGACAGCTTCCCTAATGTGCAATTTCTCAAGCAGCAACTTCCCAAAGGTTAGGTTAGGCCCTCTGAGGCGCCGCAGGCTGCAATTGGGACCGAGCACTGCGGCTAAAATGGGCTAAGGGGCCTGGCACGTCTCTATGTCTATGTAATGATGCCTTACTTCACAATAACTTTAAACTTGTAAGATCTTTCCAATCAACTCCTGACCTATCCAAAAACATAACTTTATATGTGTAACCAATTATATTTAGTATCGTTAATTAACTTCGGGCCAACCACTCAAAACAACCAACCCTGGTTAGGCGGGTCCAAACTGCATAGTAAATTGTGATTGCTTATTTGTAATATCTCATTGTTTGTAGTTGAATAAAAATATGAAAAAAATGAAATATCTTTATTAATAGACAGGTTAATTACAAAGCAGAACCGTGCGGTTTTGTTGTCTCTCTTCAACTATATATATTTGGGTCTAACAGGTACAGGTAAACATCGTACTGACCGGTAACACTAAACAGTACAGAGTATTAAAAACTAAACTTTACTAGACATCATGATACAAAGATATAAATGATATTATAGTATACTTATTACATGTCTACAAGAGGGGGGGGGGGAATCCCCCCTCAAGTCTTCTGAACTCGGATATTTTCTCTAATAATTTTTTTTTTAAATATTACGATAGCTAGCTTCACGTTTTAAATATTACGATAGCTAGCTTCACGTTTTCTCATTTCTTCTAAAAGTTTCATTTCATGGTCCAAGATTACGTAATTATTGCCAATTAGTTCACAAGGACAAATATAAGAATGAAACCTTCAATTTGATCTTTTCTTACGTTTATTTCAAAAATCGTTTAGAATATCTCGTTTTAAAATCTTTGAAATAGGATGGAACTACATCAGAAATCTTTAATTTCATCCAAAAAAACATACATATGACATTAGCTATTTACTTTAGTATCGTGTCAAGCTATGGTAAATTGCACCCTAGGTCTTAATTTTATATCTTTTTAATAATAACTCATTCTATATATTGAAGAACAAAAATGTTTTGAATTTTAAATAGATAACTAGAGCTGGGAACTTTAGAATGGGATATCCTTAATCCCGATTGGTTAATTAATCTAGAGATGAATAGCAAAAGCTGAACAAGCATTGAATAATCTCTAGATTAGGAAAAAGAGTGGATAAAACATTAATCCCGAGATCCACCATACAAAAGTTCCCAGCTCAGATAAATTTCTCCTAATTGTGAGTAAAATCAAAACTAGAGGAGCTACGAAACCACAAAGATCTAACAGTAATGAAGCATAAATTTGACCTTCTCCTGCTGGTTAGTTTGCAGTGGTATTTAAAACTCTATTTAATTCAACCATTGTTTAAAGGTTAATATGTTCTGAACCTTAAATTCAAAAGTTCTCATCTATTTTAATTTTCAAATATTTTTCACGATAAAAAATTTCTATTTTGCGAACAAAATATCAAACGTAAAAAGTGTGGTTTTGAAATGAAATAAAATTCATAAAATGAAATAAAATTCTCCTACATTTAAAACTTTGCAAAAAAACCAAATTTTTCAAATAATAACTTTTTTAGATGAGTTACGGATTCTATCAGAACTGACTTTTG